TGGGCTCCGGCTCTCGCTCATCCGCAGCGCCTCTGGCGCAGGGTGGAGGAAGGGATTCTTGCTGGAAGCGGCCCTTGGAGGCTTTTCTGGGCTCGCCATCGTCAGGCAGCGCCCCCTGCCGGGAGGTTGGGGAAAATTCTCGCTCTCCTTCAGGGCTCGCGGCTCACAGCCTCAGAGAACTCCGCATCCCACCACGCTTCATTTGCACAGCTGACGACAAGCATCTATTAGTCTACTGAAATCAGTAAGCGGGGCCAAAATGTAAAGTTCTTCTCGCCAATTCTCTGATATTCCTGAGTTCTGTTTTTATTGCAAATTGGTAACAGGTGAGGTAGATAGTCCTGGAGGTGTTTAACCTGTCAGAGGGGGCTGTGGTTAAAAGAAAAATCTAAACCATTGTTTCACCGTAGTGGGGAGCAATTTCTTGCATATTGGGCCAATTCTAGAAAAAATATTTACGGGCAATTTTAAAACTTCAAAGTAAAAGGGATTTTATTTAATCACACACACACATACACACGCACACAAACACACACACACACACATATATACATATACTTACAGCTTAGATTACCCACTGTATTGAATAGAAGAATGCCAATATGTCAATAATAAAACGAGGGCTGCAGGACTTTTTTTTTTGGCCTTAAGCTATTAATATAAAAGTGTATTTGTTACATAATAAAGGCCATATATGACAAACCCACAGCCAACATCATCCCCAACGGTGAAAAACTGAAAGCATTTCCACTAAGATCAGGAACAAGACAAGGTTGCCCACTCTCACCACTCTTATTCGATATAGTTTGGAAGTTTTAGCCATAGCAATCAGAGAAGAAAAGGAAATAAAAGGAATCCAAATCAGAAAAGAAGTAAAGCTGTCACTGTTTGCAGATGACATGATTCTATACATAGAGAATCCTAAAGATGCTACCAGAAAACTACTAGAGCTAATCAATGAATTTGGTAAAGTAGCAGGATACAAAATTAATGCACAGAAATCTCTTGCATTCCTATACACTAAAGATGAAAAATCTGAAAGTGAAATCAAGAAAACACTCCCATTTACCATTGCAACAAAAAGAATAAAATATCTAGGAATAAACCTACCTAAGGAGACAAAAGACCTGTATGCAGAAAATTATAAGACACTGATGAAAGAAATTAAAGATGATACAAATAGATGGAGAGACATACCATGTTTTTGGACTGGAAGAATCAGCATTGTGAAAATGACTCTACTTCCCAAAGCAATCTATAGATTCAATGCAATCCCTATCAAACTACCACTGGCATTTTTCACAGAACTAGAACAAAAAATTTCACAATTTGTATGGAAACACAAAAGACCCCGAATAGCCAAAGCAATCTTGAGAACAAAAAATGGAGCTGGAGGAATCAGGCTGCCTGACTTCAGACTATACTACAAAGCTACAGTAATCAAGACAGTATGGTACTGGCACAAAAACAGAAAGATAGATCAATGGAATAGGATAGAAAGCCCAGAGATAAACCCATGCACATATGGTCACCTTATCTTTGATAAAGGTGGCAGGAATATACAGTGGAGAAAGGACAGCCTCTTCAATAAGTGGTGCTGGGAAAATTGGACAGGTACATGTAAAAGTATGAGATTAGATCACTCCCTAACACCATACACAAAAATAAGCTCAAAATGGATTAAAGACCTAAATGTAAGGCCAGAAACTATCAAACTCTTAGAGGAAAACATAGGCAGAACACTCTATGACATAAATCACAGCAAGATCCTTCTTGACCCATCTCCTAGAGTAATGGAGATAAAAACAAAAATAAACAAATGGGACCTAATGAAACTTCAAAGCTTTTGCACAGCAAAGGAAACCATAAACAAGACCAAAAGACAGCCCTCAGAATGGGAGAAAATATTTGCAAATGAATCAACTGACAAAGGATTAATCTCTAAAATTTACAGGCAGCTCATGCAGCTCAATAACAAAAAAATAAACAACCCAATCCAAAAATGGGCAGAAGACCTAAATAGACATTTCTCCAAAGAAGATATACAGACTGCCAACAAACACATGAAAGAATGCTCAACATCATTAATCATTAGAGAAATGCAAATCAAAACTACAATGAGATATCATCTCACACCAGTCAGAATGGCCATCATCAAAAAATCTAGAAACAATAAATGCTGGAGAGGGTGTGGAGAAAAGGGAACACTCTTGCACTGCTGGTGGGAATGTGAATTGGTTCAGCCACTATGGAGAACAGTATGGAGGTTCCTTAAAAAACTACAAATAGAACTACCATATGACCCAGCAATCCCACTACTAGGTATATACCCTGAGGAAACCAGAATTCAGAAAGAGTCATGTACCAAAATGTTCATTGCAGCTCTATTTACAATAGCCCAGAGATGGAAACAACCTAAGTGCCCATCGTCGGATGAATGGATAAAGAAGATGTGGCACATATATACAATGGAATATTACTCAGCCATAAAAAGAAACGAAATTGAGCTATTTGTAATGAGGTGGATAGACCTAGAGTCTGTCATACAGAGTGAAGTAAGTCAGAAAGAGAAAGACAAATACCGTATGCTAACACATATATATGGAATTTAAGAAAAAAAAAATGTCATGAAGAACCTAGGGGTAAGACAAGAATAAAGACACAGACCTACTGGAGAATGGACTTGAGGATATGGGGAGGGGGAAGGGTAAGCTGTGACAGAGCGAGAGAGTGTCATGGACATATATACACTACCAAATGTAAGGTAGATAGCTAGTGGGAAGCAGCTGCATAGCACAGGGATATCAGCTCGGTGCTTTGTGACCACCTGGAGGGGTGGGATAGGGAGGGTGGGAGGGAGGGAGACGCAAGAGGGAAGAGATATGGGAACATATGTATATGTATAACTGATTCACGTTGTTATAAAGCAGAAAATAACACACTATTGTAAAGCAATTATACCCCAATAAAGATGTTAAAAAAAAAAAGTGTATTTGTTAATATGGTAGCGACGTCGGGGGCAATTTTACATTTATAAAAAGAATAATAAAATATACAATACTTATAATAAATTCCATATAGCAAATTGATTCCTGCAGAATGCTTTCAGTAATTTTTGCAGAACTCTGGTGTCCCTCATCAATCTGTGATTGTAATTGACAAATGAGTGTAGCATGACATGAATGTTGGTTGATATTTTTGTTTACCTCAACAAGAAGGACAAAGGTGAAATAACTAAGAAAATTCATTCTCAACAGGAAGCAACTTCTTTGCTAGCTCGGATAATAGTTTTGAAACACTAGAAAGATATTTCCTCAAAGTTTTGTGCTATTCAAAATTCAGTAGCTACAGACACAACACACTAAGTTTCATCTGCATTATTAACATGTTCTCCATCACTTCTTTAAGTCTAGACAATCAACAGAATAATAAATCAAGTTGACAGTTAAGAAGCCATTTACTGATTTCTGCAGTCTGAATACTCAAGCTACCAACACAAAGTCAGTGAACGCGGAGTTGGGTAGAGGCACTCAGTAGCACGGGTCATATAGCATTTCCATCTTGCAGGGATATTAGACATCCATAACTTTAAGAACAGATAATAGTAAAATGCAGTAAAATAACTCAAAAGTGATATAAGTATTTATTTCCTTTGTTTTTGTATAATTAATGGTAAACATACAATTTAATTTTTAATAATAGCTGGCTGTTATTTCTAACAATACCTTTTAACAACTGGCTCACAAAATTCCTGATAATTTAACAATTGGCTCTCACAAGCCATTAGGATCTGGCCCGAGCACACCACTGCCAGGCTCCAGTGACTTCTGGGTTCCACAGTGACAGGCACTGGCAGGAGATGGGAGAGCAGCAAGAGGGAAGGGTTGGGTTTTCCTTCTGCTCTGTCCTGGGATGCACTCTGCAGCTCCTGTTCCTCCAGGCTCAGCCAACACTGTTCTTTCCTCTGCCTCTAGGGGGTTAATAGCTTCTTGGCTTCTTGCTCTTGCTGGTTCCTAATGCTTCCCCATTACATCCACCCCTTTGTAAGTACTTACTTTCATTACACCCCATTAATCATTCCCTTCCCTTTGAGTGTGCCTCTGTTTCCTGGCTGGACCCTTCCTGCTCAAGTCTGCTTCTGGGGTCACAACTTCTAATACTTCTATTCCTAAATATAGGAACTGTGTGTCCTTGGGCAAGTGGCTCAACTTCTCTGAGCTACAGTTTTGTGAGAATTAAGTACGATGCAGTACGGTATGATTTTGAAAGATTAACCAGTGGTACTTAATTTTTTCCTCCTATTTCCTGGTGCCCTATAACTCTTTTCCAAACTGGGAAGCTATACTCTGTTGCAGATGTTTCTCAGGACAGGATTTAAAGCATAAGTAGGGGGAAAAGCATAAATTTCAAAATTCAAAACCTTGAATTTCGGGGCAAAGAAAACCTAATGAATGGGAGCGAAGCATCCTGCTAGGAGATCCACTGGTCCCTGAGAAGGCCCTCCTACCCTGCCAAGCTGGAAGAGGTGGGACAGCAGAACCCCTGGTAACGTGGGCAGCTGAAGAATTGAGAACAAATGGCTGCAGGCTGAGTCCAGGCAACCGTGAGCCGCTCTACAGTACCCGATGGATGCCCCAGTGCGGTCCGAGAGACGTTCGTACTGATGGGACTTCCATACAGGTCTGGGTGCTGACATCACAGCAGCTGTGTGGCCTGATAAGCAACGGCCAGGTGACGATGTGCACCTGGGTGAATGGGAAAAGGACAGTAACGGGGAGTCTTCCTCGGCA